CTCTGCCATGCTACCCTGCCTTGGAATCAGCAGACTATGGATTGAAATCTCTACACAATGTGAGCTGAAATAAACCTTTCCCCCTTTAACTTTTGATGTTGGATATTTTGTTTCAGCAATAAGAAAAGTAACCAAGACAGCCCTTCATTTTCTTCATATTGCTTATTTCTGCTGCTTTTAACAATGTTTAAAGGAAAACAAACATATTCCAGCTTTAATCTTATTAAATAAAATTTAAGCACTAACATTTAAAATATACCAGGCAAGGGCTGGGGATTTAGCTCAGTGGCACCTTTAGCTCAGTGGCACCATGCCTGCCTCGAAAGCACAAGGTCCTGAGTTCAATCCCTGGTACCAAAAAAAAAAAAGTATACCATGCATTCAATCCTTCTATTTGGAAAAAGTTCATCTCACCAGGTCATTAGTCAGTAGTTGAATACAGATTTAAACATTTAGATGAATAAAACAGGGCAATTTTAAAATCCAATTACTGGTAAGAACTGTTACAGTCCAGTTGCTTGTTTCACATTTCCAAGAAAAAAGTAAGAAGGCCATCATTTGCAGTAGCTGGGTAGTGACTAAATGAACTCTATCTTTTCTTCATAAAAGTCATCATAAAGTGTTTATAACAAAAAAAATTCTAACTTTCACCTTTCCTCCTGAATGAAGTATGTAGTAGGCTAAGTATTCTAGCAACTTCCATGCTACCATGAATTGCAAGAGACAGTGCAGATGAGAGTTTGCAAGTAGTAGAATGGTACAATTCCCGAAGATGTTTTGTTCGTTTAAAATACTTTGCCATCACTAGAGCTTGAACAGATACAACATTACTCATCATACTCTAGTGGCCCCTACTGTCTTACCTGCCCACTTCTCTAAGGGTGCGGCACTGCCAATCATGTGGCATTAAAAATAGTGTTCAGGGCCAGGGATTTAGCTCAGTGGTTCCGGCTCCTGCCTTGCAAGTGCAAGGTCCTGAGTTTGATCCCTGGTACCAAAAAACCCCCCAAGAAACAAAAAACACAAAAAAAGTAGTGCTCAGCTACTTAATTGGAGTTCACTGATGCAACTTTGCAAAGGGCTTAATTTTGTGTAGCCACTGTTACTTAGGCTATCCAGTAAGGCTTGGGGGGAAGGTCCAAAGGACTGCAGATGAAAAAAGGAGTTTTCCATGATCCACAACAAGCAATTAAAAAAGGCAAATAAGAACACAGAACAAAACAAAGCTCTTTAGGAGACAGCAAGCTTCCTTCCCCGTCCCCCAGGAGCAGCTGCAAGGGGCCTGCAGACTGGAACCGCTGCACAGCCCTCTGCCCCCAGGAGCCTGTGAGGCAAGGCCTCCTGCTGGAGAGTGGAACCTGGCGCGGACAGGGCTCAGCCTGAGGACGCTGTGTCCAACAGCTGAGGTGAGGGCCTGAGAGACTGCACCAAAGCTGAGGCTTTAGCCTCAGGCAATAGGCCTCCACAGCTCCCCTAAGTCTTCCAGTTTCTTTCATGGATGACTGTTGTCTTTATGACATGTTTTTCATTATTTTTATTCATTCATCACTTTCAATATGGTTGTCAACTCAATCTTTTATCTACATTTTTTTTTTATGACTTTAATTTCCCCAGGTCAGGGTTTTTCCTATTGCTCTCAATGCTTTGTTTCTCATCCTTGCTGCTTTTCCCTTTAAACTTTTAATTGACATATAATAACTGTACATGTGTAGAGGGTATAGTGATGTACTAGCTTGTCCATCAACTGAAACATCATTTCCCCATATTGGGAACCTTTCTCTTAGCTCTTTTGAAATCCATAATTAAGTGAGGGCTACAGAACTTACAGGGTGGCCCTCCTATCCAGCTGTACCCCAGGGCCCACTCCCTTTTCTCCTACCTGCCTGGCCCACACTCCACCCCTTCCCAACCTCTGTAAACCATTCTTCCACACTCTGCTTCTATGAGGGTGACTTTTTTAGCTTTTGCATGTAAGTAAGAACACACTGCCTCTATTTATTTATTTATTTATTTATTTATTTATTTATTCATTCATTCATTGATTCATTCATTCTGGTACTGGGGATCACACTTAGGACTTTGTACTTGCAAGGCAGGTGCAGCACCACTGAGCTAAATCCCCAGCCTGCTTCTAATTTTAAAATTGGATCCTATGTTACTTTTTCCTTGATTTTCTCCAAAGCCTATTTTATTAATGTTTCTTCTAACAGTGAGCAAACTACTCCTTATAAATGTATGGTTTAGAACAGTGAGGTCATTCCAAGGTAATTACCTTATCTATTTATTTTGAGAAAGAGGTGACTGAAGATGTAATCACATCTTAAACTATGAGTTCTTGCTATTCTTTCAAATATGAAAAATCATATTATGAGCATTAACACCAAGGAAAATTGTAAATTTAATATATTCAATACCAAATTCTAAAAGAATGACTGGCCAAGAAAAAAAACAATGAAAGAGGCAAAGGCCTTAGGCTTTGCTTGACTGCTTCCTTAATAAGGAAAAAGAGCTCATCTATATGATTACTAATATAAAAACTTAATTTAAAAAACTGAATTCAGAAATTTAGTTTATTATAAGGCTTTCATGCAATAGCTAGTTAATTCAAATGTAAAAAGTGTTTATTATTTATTTATTTGAAGGACAATAACTTTCAGTGCAGCTAGAGCCCAGAAGGGCTTCCTAAGGGACATTCAGTTAAAAAGCATCTATCTGTTCAGTACCAGGTATGTGCCAAGCATTGTGCTAGAGCTAAAGACACCTGAGATATATGTGTGGGATTCAGGAGCTAACCATGAAATGGGAAATGGGTTGGACACTAGCTCTTCAAATAGGAAAAGTCTGAGGCCATACCCAGGTCTCTGATAACAATTAGTGAGGCCCTGACAACAGGCATGGTGGTATCTATACCATGCAGATGAAGTGGCTTCAAAAGTTTTTTAAAAATATAGTTAAGTTAGTTAAGCCTTTAGTACTGATTCAAAAGTCAATGAAATTCTTTTTTTTTTTTTTTTTTTTTGTACCAGAGATCAAACTCAGGACTTCGCATTTGCAAGGCAGGCAGAAGCACCACTGAGCTAAATCCCCAGCCTAAGTCAATGAAATTCTTACAGACCAAGGGACCATTATGTTTCTGAACAAAAGAAAAGCAAATCAAGTTGCACAGGTTTCTAAAATATAGTATTACACAGCATATATGCTATATGCACTATAGTATAAATGCTAAGGTAGTACAGATAGCCTGTAAACTTTGCATGATGGTCAAGAATCAACTACACAACTTACGATAAAAAATGAAAGTTATGTTTTTTTCTTTCCCCTGGTATGGAGATTGAACTCAGGACCTTGTGCTTGCAAGGTAGATGCGGTGCCACTAAGCTAAATCCCCGGCCCAAAAGTTGTATTTTTCTAGAAACATAACCCTGGATCTTAAGATAAATATCTAAGCATATTACTAAGATATGTGATGAATAATGCTTATAAAGTAACAATAATATAAATATTCTTTTCATTAGCTTTTAACTTTTAAATTCAATATATAGGAGAAAACACTGAAGTTTTAATCATATAGAATATAAAGTCAATGTATTCAATTATAATGCTAAACTGTAAAGGCACAGCTATCAGAATATGAAAGGCAGAGGAGGGAAAGAAAAGGTGAAGGGAAGGGTAAGAGCACTCAAATCAAATTACAAGGTCAGGGGATAGTGATAAAACTTGCTGGAACAAGAAATGCGTGTTTAAGTATGTTGTTTAAGGTTACAAAAATTAATAATAGAGGAAATAAAAACATTAAAAAAAAATGTTGTAAGCCAGGCACAGGCCTGGCATCCCAGCACCTAAGGCTGAGGGAAGAGGATCTCAAGGCCAGCCTGGACTACACAGCGAGACCCCCATCTCAAAAGAACAAAAACCAAAACCAAAACAAAAATTGTGTATCACATGAATTCTGAATTCTCCCACATTGAGAAGGCCTATTATTGCTTCTAACACACACTCAAATCAATGCCAGTTTGCTTGCTTTAACTAAGTGTCACTACTTGCTCAGATACCTAAAGGAAAAGAAGGCTGCTACAGCGTCACTATTTTCCTAAAGAGCAAGAAAGCTGTTCTCCTTTACAAACTGAATTTGATATTTAAAAATATCTTGACCGAAGTCCACTGCCCATTAGCCTGGTGACATCTCACCAAAGCTAGAAGAGAACTAAGAGTTAATCATCTTGCTGCTTTCCTCATTCCTTTTCCTTTCTCTGCAAGACTTCTTTACTTCACAAAGAGAAGTTTACAGCTAACTCTTGAGTTTAGTGGCTACACTGAATTAAAACAGAATTGATTCCTATTTACAAAAAGAGCTCTTTTGCAGGGAGCCTTAGGAATTACTGTAACTGAGTCATGGGTTAGAAATTCCAAGTTAAAGACACAGGTGTGGGAGTCACAGTTCTATATCTGACACTGGCCAAAATCCACCTTGTAACCTTGGACAGGTCCCTTTGTCTCTGGCTTTCAATTTCCTCATCTATAAAATAAAAGGACCGAAACCAGATAGTTGCTAAGGATCTTTTCAATATCTAAATTCTGCCTTTCTCTAACCAAACAAGGAGAGAAAAATTTTAAATCCTAATTTAAAAACCAAAACAAGTAACAACAAAAATCCCTGAAAGTACTGCTACTGGCCTAAGAGTTGTTACACACAGTTAAAGGTCTACAATGGCAGTTTATGCAAGTTATGAGGCAACAAGTTAGGAGGGCCTGTTTTTCAAGTAGATAATTCAAATGGTTTCAAAGTCAGAATTTCCACACAAAAATGACCTAAGCACCACTGAACTGCAATGGAAAAGTACTAGCTTAAGAGTCAGGTTTTCACTTGATTCAAAGGCTTTTCTTAGGTAAATAACATCTCAGAGTCTCAATTTTCTCAGGTGTAAACTGACAGGATCATATTACATTATTTCTAAGACCTTTCCTAAAACCAAAACTATAAGTGGTTATTCTCAACCTACCCTTTTGTAATGCATTGTTTCCAAAAACATCTTGGTCTGTTTATAGATTTCTTGGCCTGTCTTGTGGAAGGTCTTGAGAAATTCTATGAACTCCTTAGACACTCTATCCGTTTCAATGCTGGTTTGCCGGTTAATGGAAGGACTAGGAGCTTTTGCTTCCTGAATTTCTGCTGGGAAAATTAAACATAGTAAGTTTCATAACAGAGAAGATCTATGCAAGGAATCACTAAGTATCTAATTTAAGATTATTTAAATTATGTTTTAGTAAAGTTAAACTGCAATTTAAATCACTTTAAGTTTAAATGTTTGGACAGCTTTCCTCAAAGTAAAAATTTATTTCATGAGTAGGAAGTACAAGCAGACAAAACTTCACAATCTAAGATATTCAAATAAAAGTTGCTGCAATAGTATTTTCCTAGAAAAAATACATCATGCTTTGATCTATATATAGATTTAATCATTAATAGTGAAATGCCACACTAGCTTGAACAACTTTCTCAAAGATTGACTGAGTTTAAGTTTTTTTTTTTTTTTGGTACCAGGGATCGAACAGCCTGAGTTTATAAAGCTAGTCAAAAAGTAAAATAACAATCAGTAGAAGCACCAAAATATTAGAGGACACGTAAAATGTTAGACAACTGTTCCAAATCCCATCCTACTTACCCAAAGGGAAAAGGCCAATTTGTCTGTGTGGAGACACAATTATTTACCCACCATTTAGTTTGCAAGACACACTGTTCAAGGTGAAAAAATGTATCCAAAGTAGCACAGAACAGGAGAGAACACACACCAGAGGAGTGAGGGAAGCAAAGAGCATATTCTCCAATCATCTGGGCACACAATTTTTCTCCCTCTTCAAATAAATACACTAAAAGGAAAATGGGGCCTTTACAGAACAAGGTAAGTAGGCTGGGAGTTAGCTCAGCAGCACAGCACCTGTCTGGGAAGAGCGAGGTCCTGAGTTTGATCCCCAGTGCCAAAAAACCAAGCAAACAAAAATCCAAACAAACAGAACAAGGTAAGTAAGTGGGTAGTCACAGTGCTCTCCAATTTAATATTTTTAAGGAATTAAAGGATCTCATATCCACAATTTCTTTTTACAGACAGAAAAGATAATTAAAAAGAAAGTATCTTTGAAAGATACTAAAATCAACCCATTACTTTTTTAGCATAATTATTCATCTCATTTTTTGAACTTGTAACTTAAACTCTTGATTTTACTTGAGATACATTTTAATGATAAGGTTGCAATCAAATTTTAAGGTAATAAAAATGATATTCCTATTACAGTGGTATATTTAAGTGAGACAAATACATATTAATTATCTAAAAGAATATACAACTAGCCATACCATCGCAAACAAGTCCACCTCTCACTTATCATTACATGGCTAAATATTAAATTCATGTGGGATATACTTGGCTTATGTTCAAATTAAAGCAAAAGCATCTCATCCCCTTATGTTATGAATATTACGTAGTTAGCACAACAAAATTATATTTTATAGTTCTCTCTCTGAATCCAGTATTTGGCCTTTGTTTTCTTTTCTTTTCGGTACTGAGGATCAAACTCAGGACCCTGAGCTTGCCAGACAGGTGCAGCACCACTGAGCTAAATCCCCTGCCCTCCGGCCCCTTTTTTGAGATAGGGTCTTGCTGTTGTTCAGGCTGGCCTTGAACTCACTATGTAGTCTACACTGGCCTTGAACTTGCGATTCTCCTTCCTCAGCCTCCCAAGTGCTGGAACTATAGGCATGCACCACCACACCCGGCTTGGGTATCTTCCTTAAAATCTTGGTTGCAATTTGGCTGTCTTTTAAATTATCAAATAGTTCTTTTTTTATATATTAATTTGATTTATTTCAAGTTTATTTGTTTTTTTTAAATTAAATTCTTTTAATTGGTTCTAAGTTTTCAATCCCAGGACTGACCTCTATGGTCCAGGACATCAGCTCCAGGTGTCAGGTGTGTGCGCAGGTAAGGTTTTTTTTTTTTTTTAAATTAAATTCTTTTAATAAGTTCTAAGTTTTCAATCCCAGGACTGACCTCTATGGTCCAGGACATCAGCTCCAGGTGTCAGGTGTGTGCGCAGGTAAGCTCCAAGGTAAGACCAAGGAACGAAGGTAATCGACTACGGGGAAGAGAGCCAGGGGAACATTGGGAACTTGATTTCACCGAAATAAAATCCAGCAATAGGTTCAAATATTTACTGGTATTGGTTGACACCTACTCAGGTTGGGTA